GAGAGAGAGAGAGAGAGAGAGAGAGAGAGAGAGAGAGAGAGAGAGAGAGAGAGAGAGAAACTGACCCGTCTCCCCGAACCTCGTTCCTCACACTGCCGCCTCCCCCCTCCCCCCCGAAAGTTCCAAAAGATTGGAGGACGACAACAGTATACCCACCGGTCTACATCCCGCACTCCCCGAGCCTCCTTCCTCCCACTGCGTACCTTCCCTCTCCCTCCCTGAACCTCCTCCCGAAGCTCCCGCCGTGGAACAAAGGACAAAGCTGGAAGAAAGGACAAACCTGGAAGAGAGAGAGAGAGAAAGAGAGAGAGAGAGAGAGACTGACCTGCTTCTTGGACGTTGGCGGCGGCTGGCAGGTTCGTTGGCGAGGGCTGGACGTTGGCGGCGGCTGGCTGCTTCTTGGACGTTGGCGGCGGCTGGCTGTTTCGTCGGCGATGGCGGCTTCCTCGGGGATGGCTGCGGGGCTGCAGGGGGGACGTGACAGGCAGCAGCTGGCGGCTTCCAAACAGCGCGCCCGCGAGATTCAAAAACGGCCAGTTTGAAACTGCTGGCCCTGCCTCCCGCCACCCCACCTGAGCCTGCACAGACTGTGGTGGGTCTGGCCTTCGACCGATGTCCGGTATGGCGAAAAGACACACGAAAGTCGGCCCAGTATTTCTCCGGGGCCGCCGAGGACCCAAAAAATGTCCTTGGCGGCCCCTTTTTTTTCCGATTTTTTCGTTGGGGGGCCCGGTTCTGGACGTCCAGGACCGGACACCGGACCCCTACATAATGTTTGGGAGTGTCTGGAAACCGGTCCGGACGTCTGGTCGGTTACCATGGAATGGACGCTTCAAATTTTTATTATTATTATGTTTTTTCTTTCGCTAGTGTTTCCAGCGCCCAGCGAGTTTTGAACGGCCACGCGGAAATGACAGACTCCTTCAGTAACACGTGGTTCCGCCTGGGATGGTGGTCCCCCCCCGAAGCACGGTTCCGGGTTTCTGCTGGTCCGTTTGCCCGAGTGAGCCTGACACGTCCTTCCTTTCATACAGCTGGCGCACCCGAAATCAACAAAAAAGGAAAACAATGTATCTGACGCCAATCGCATCCACAATCGGAAAAAGGAGAGCCCCGCTGTGAGTGTGTGAGTATGCCTGGAAGCCTTTGCTGTCTTCGAATATGCGGCCCGCAATTTGAATCTGCCCCTTCCCATTGCCGCATGTCCCACTGGCGCTGCCTCCCTCCGCCTCAGATTTCATCGGCAGTCGGGGGTGCATCAGCTGTGAACAATTGCAGTGTACCAATTCCAAAAGAAACACTCAGGAAAATAAAAAAGAAAGCATTAAAGCTGATTTCATCAACGGAAGATTGAGAATGCAACTGCACTGTAGTGAAGAAGGAACAAGTGCACCACACTTTCAGATAAATATTAAAAAGAAAACAATTCAGCCACTCCATCAGCACAGGTGAGTAACATGTCAATGAATTGAATGCCTTGTGTGTTTTCGTTCTTCTTGGCTTGTGCCTGAGTGAAGGCAATACTCACACTAGGACATTTTCCACAAGGATCTGGACGTGATTGCGAACAGATTCGTCCAGGTGGGGCTGTAATTCCAGTAAGATGCATCCATCGTGGAAGTGCTACAGTCTTCTGTTGGCTACAACGTACGGTGATTTTAGCTGAATTTGGACTGAAAGATAGACCAAATTCATCTATAATGACCGTACGTTGTATTCGGGGGAAGACTGTAGTGTGAGTATGCACTGAGAGATGCTCCTCCGTAGAGGGCCTCTGTCCACTACTCTCGAAATGTGCAAAACGAGAGTGAATCTTCCGCTAGAACATGGAAAGATACACTGCCATGATTATGTCTTTTGTGCATGTCGAGAGTAGTGGAGCGAGGCCCATACATGTGTATACATGTCCATCACAAGAATAGTTTCAGCGTGCTCCTCATGTTTTTATCTTGCGTATTTTTTTTTAATTGTCTGTTAACTTCGTTTTGCAAAGTGCGCTCTTTTAGGCGACAGGTATGTGACAGTATATCCATGTCCACAACTGAGCGATGAATCTGATGACGCAATTATATTATGGCGAATAAACCAGAAGTATATCCATGTCGGTGACTGAACGATGAATCTGATGACGGCAATTATATTATGGCGAATAAACTAAGTATGCAGGGAAGGGTGGGGCGTGTTGACATTTGCTGGTGTTTGTGTTCTTCTGAACGTCGTCATGATGTTCGACAGCCTTGTTAAATTGATGGTCTTGTTTTCATTTCTCTTCCCCACATTCTCAATGATTGAAAACTTTTATGAGTTTTATGAGATCTGGTATGGAGAAACACATTCGGAAGGTGGTGTCTCAAGTTGCTAGTTGCTGCTTCACGATAGCACCGACAGCATTTATCTTCGTGTGTTGTGCAATCTGTGGCCCGGTTCTTGCGCAGCGATATGTCACGCAGAAGAAGGCAATTAGGTAGCAGGGAGAACACAGTACTCCCTCTCCCTCTCTCTCTCTCTCTCTCTCTCTCTCTCTCTCTCTCTCTCTCTCTCTCTCTCTCTCTCTCTCTCTCTCTCTCTCTCTCTCAGTAGTATGCATATCTGCCTAAAACAGTAGTAGATTGTGAAGTTCATTGAGGTGGACTCTGGCTGTGGTCAAACGACTTGTGTAATGCCATGTGTTTGCAGGGCGACACCGGAGCAACTGGTCCTGTTATTTTGCTCCTGAGACTTCATTGCTGTGCAGAATGAGGGCGTTGTTTTTGTGGAGGCGGTCTCGTAGAGGACACGAGGATGCTGTTATGACCATGTCATTTGAAGAGAAGACGGGACTGTTCTTTCCAAATCTTCCAAGGTAAGGTGTGCTGTAGACGACAGACTTGTCCAAAGGCGTTGTTTTTTTCAAACGATGAATGATAATGTATGAAATAGGGCATGGCTTTCGCAACTGAATCTGGCTGTTTCTGGGACAGGACATATCGAGAAAAGGGATCACTGTGAGTATGGGCTGTTGAAAATTTTAGAACAGTCGACACGGTACCTCTTCCAGAATGAACCTGGCCAGTCAGATGAGCCAGGTGCATGATGTAAAATGAGATGCTGAAGGCACCCAGGTGTAGTATTCCAAAGGGGGGATGCGGCGGAATCTATGAAATCTGACACGTCTGACGTGGATAAGTGACGGCAGAGTGGTTGAGAATCTTGAGAGAGCACTCGCTCGCACTAGGTCCTTCAAATCGTGGAATTGCAAATTCAGCGGCCAGATCGAGTTCTCCTTTTAGAAGGACCTGATCTGACCCAATCTGGCCGCTGACTTTGCGATTCTGTGATTTTAAGGGCCTACCGTCTTCACCCGAATAGAACGCCCGGTCATTATAGCCGTATTTGGTGCAACTTTCAGTCTATACACAGCGATAATGACCGGGCGTTCTATTCGGACGTTCTATTCGGATGAAGACGGTAGTGTGAGTATGCCACCTCAGATGGGCGAACTTTATTATAAAATTACAATCGCGTATGCCTTGAGCCCCTTTAGGACTAGGTCCTTCAAATCGTGGAATCACAAATTCAGCAGCCAGATTGACTCCTCCTTTTAGAAGGACCTGATCTGACCCAATCTGGCTGCTGATTTTGCGATTCTGTGATTATAAGGGCCTAGTACGAGTATGCCACCTGAGACGGGTGAACTCATAATGATAAAATTACAATCGTGTATGCCTTGAGCCCCTTAAGGACTAGTTGTTTTTTCTTTTTTTCTTTTTTTCTTTTTTTCAATCTTCTTATAGTTTTCGTTCCTTGTGGTTGCTCACTCCTCTGACGGGTGCTAATGTGGGTAGCAGCCAAAAGCTCCGCCACGCCTGTCCTGCGCAGTTTTGCATAACTTGCATGAAAAAGAGTTAAAAAAGAAAAAGGAATTGCGGCCTTTATTATTGTTAAGTTTGCTTTTCCTTTTGTCTTTTGCGGAGGGCGAAGTGGGGAGTCGAACATGAAAAATTGATTCTTAAGAATTGAGAAAATTAAAAAACTCATTGCTTCGCGCCTTTCCTTTTTCAGCAATCGAATCAAAGGCTAAGTGGTCGGGTGCTCCGATCTGTTAGTGGAAAGTGAACCTTCAGAAATGGCATCCTGCTTGCACACGGATTAATAATGGGATCTCGAACCTGAAATCCGGGTTCGGAGGAAGCAAGCGCCGGTATCTCTTAATCTGTGCAAACGGGATCTCGACCCTGAAATCCATGGTCCGGAGGAAGCAAGTAAACAAGGTGAAAATTCAAGTATCATAAGGATGGTGTCCGGCTTGCTTCCACGGATTAAGGAAGATTGTCTGTAGGCAATGGACATTGACGGCCAGTATCTCGTAATCCAGGCAAATGGGATCTGCTGCAGAGGAAGCAAGTAAACAAGGTTGAAACTTAAAAAACATGTACAGTCTCCTCACAGACGTTCCTTAGCTAGAGACTTAGGCAGAACCCTAGAGGTGAAAATGTACTTGGACGTGAGCCAAGGTCAGGGAGAAGAGAAGAGGAGAGAGGTGATTTTCATGTTTGACCTTAGATTGAGCTGCAAAGACATCACCATATCCAAGTACATTCGAGCCTGGTCCCCTGAAAATTCGCAGATGTCGTTGACGTGTTTTGTTGGCTCGACAGGCAGCAGCAGTTCAGGTGGGACTGAACAAGTAGAGTTTTTTTTTTTTTTTTTTTTTTTTTTTTGGGCGTAGGAGAAATCAAGCCTTTCCTCCCTGAGTTCGTAGTTTCTTGCACTCTGCTCTCAACTTCCTTATTGAGCTAACTGGGAGCACACGTGTTTCTCGATTCGAGACCAAAACCAAAAATAAAAATTTGAAAATCAAAACTTTAAAGTTTAAATTCAAGTCAACCTAGAATGTAGGAGGTGCACACGTGTTTCTCGATTTGAGACCAAAACCAAAACCAAAAATTGAAAATCAAAACTTCAAATTCAATTCTACCCTAGGAAGATTTTCATGACCGGGCGGTCATGGCAAAA